TCATTCCTGATTTTGTAACTTCTAAAGTAATAGCTTAATTGATATATAATTGACATACTAGAGAATCAGTCCATTTAGAGTATATAACTTACTGTTTTTTGATATATTCAGAATTGTGGAAACCATCACAATTTTAGGACATTTAAATCACTTCCAAAAGAAAACCGGTACCTGTTAGCAGTCATGCGCCATTTCCCCTGTCCCTGGCAACCACTCATCTACGTTCTGTCTGTATGGATTTGCCGTATCCTGGACATTTCATATAAACGGGATCATACAATATGTGGTCTTTTGTGACTGGCTTCTTTCACTTAGCATGTTTTCAAGTTTCATCTGTGTGGTAGCATGATTTTTGCTAGTGTTTTCACTTTTTAGACAAGTGGATTTTTGCAGGCCCTCACTATGCCACTCTTCAGAGTGATTACCTCTTGTACTGATGGTATCTTGCCCTCTTTCCCTTGTTGACCATGGAAAGTGACAGAACAAGATAATCTAAGATACTGAACCAGTTACCTTTGCCCTTCTACCACAATAGAATCTATTTTATTATAACCCAGAAGTTTAAACACATACTGCTGAAGTAAGTTAAATATTTCTAAAACTCCGGAAATGCTTTTCCTTTTTAGCTGAAGGATCTAAATTTACTTGATCGCTGTATAAAAGAAACATTAAGACTTCGACCTCCTATAATGACCATGATGAGAATGGCCAAAACTCCTCAGGTGAGTCTCTTGGTTAGATCTTCCCTTCCACTCCCCTAGTTTTTATTTATCAGAAAGAAAAAATATAACAGCAAAGAGAAGTTTTTAAATTAAAAAAGTAGAATAATCGTTTCCACATAATTTCAGTTTTTTATATTTGAACTCTGATATGTAATTATATATTCTATTTACATAGATATTTTTATATAATTAGAGAGTATACATGCTAATCTGTTCCCTGCATTTTTATTTAACAATTAGGGTTTTAAAAATGGTAGTGTATTTTTTTCCTGATTTAAAAAAAGCATGTTTTATTAAAAATTTTGATAGTATGGAAATATACAAATCGGATTGTGAAAGGCTCCTTGATATCCCTCTGCTACCTCTGAGGCATTATGGCTTTTTTAAGTTTCCAGCCCAATGTTGGGTCACTTGGAAATCCTCTTGAGTTAAAATAATTTTTAGCTGGCCTATCATCTAGCTAGTTTTTAAATATATGTATATCACATGTGTGTTAATGCTTTATTACACAATAGTCTGGTTATTTGGTAGAATAGTTTTATATTATCTAATGAAATGTGTTGCTTTCATTTGTAGACTGTGGCAGGATATACCATTCCTCCAGGACATCAGGTGTGTGTCTCTCCCACTGTCAATCAAAGACTTAAAGACTCATGGGTAGAACGTCTGGACTTTAATCCTGATCGCTACTTACAGGACAATCCAGCATCAGGAGAGAAGTTTGCTTATGTGCCATTTGGAGCTGGTAAGATACCATTTTACATTTGAAATGTTTGTTCTGATAATATATTTATGTCTGTTAAATTAATCCATATGAATTTTATTTATAAATATCTTTTCCTTTCCTCATAGGGACATTCCTGTAAACATTTGTAGGAGTATAATCTTTGCCAGGTTGGAAAAAGTATTTTATTTGTACTAAAGGAAATAGTTTTGTGAATCCTTATATAAAGTTCTGTTACCTTCTAACCAATTTAGTTTTTTCAGGGTTAATTTTTATAGTCCACCCTGTTTTTCCTTACAATAATATTTTAAGCTCTTTGTGAATTGTTTTAAAAAACCACTGGAATTAGCACACAATTTAGGCAATTATTTCAGGCTAAATATGATAACAGATTATCAGTGTTTCAGAAAAGAGCAAAAGCAGTCTTGTTAAAATTGAAGCTTTTCTGGATTGTTAGTCAACTTTTTGGTGCTCTGTCTGTATCCTTAGGATAAAATGGTCTTTAAATTTGGGCAGGTCTTACATAGGTTTGCAAACTTCTGCATTTCAATTACCACTCTTAAATTATGCAGGCAGACCCTTGTTCCTGCAGTAATTTCTCTGTTCATCGGTACTCTACAGATTAAACTACATTTTATGACTTCTTGTTTAGTCTTTCCAAAGAGATTTGAAGTGGCACAACTTTTTTGCCACCGGTCACACCGTTTCCACATGTAAAGGAGAGTATAAAGTCCTTTAGGAACTTCAGATCTTAGTAACTCTAATAAATAAATTTAATAATATGGTATATAACATCACATATAAAAGAGTCATAGATTGTTCAAACAGTTGGAGGGGCCTTAGTTCTGTGGCCCAAAATCTGCCCCAAAGAGGAATCATTTCTAAACCGGTAATTGCCTGGACTACACTTGAACTTTTTTAGGTAATAGATTGCTCAGTTACCTTCTGTGGCAGCTCATTTTGTTTTTTGGACAGCTCCCATTTTTAAAAACTTACATTAAAGCTGTAATCTGGGGGCGCCTGGCTGGCTCAGTCGGTAGAGCACGTGACTCTTGGTCTCAGGGTCATGAGTTCAAGCCCCATGTTGGGTGTGGAGCCTACTTAAAAAAAAAAAAAAAGCTGTAATCTGTTTCCTTTTAACATCCCATTGTTTTTAAACATCCCCTGATTGTAGTCTCTGAAGTTATATTGTGTATCTTTGAGCTATCTGAATATGATATAATGTTCCCTCAAATTTTTCATCATTGTGCCAGTTTCCTAGGGCTACTTTAACTCCCACAAACAGGGTGACTTAAAACAATAGACATTTATTCTCCCACATCTCTGGAGGCCGGAAGTCTGAAATCAAGGTGTTGGCAGGGCCTTGCTCTCCCTGATGGCTCTAGGGGAGAGTCTTTCCTTGCTTTTTTTTTTTTTAAAGATTTTATTTATTTGACAGAGAGAGAGACAGAGAGAGCAGGAACACAAGCAGGGGGAGCGGGAGAGGGAGAAGCAGGCTTCCCGCGGAGCAGGGAGCCCGATGCGGGGCTCGATCCCAGGACCCTGGGATCATGACCTGAGCCGAAGGCAGATACTTAACGACTGAGCCACCCAGGCGCCCCTCTTTCCTTGCTTTGTTCTAAGCTTCCCGTGGCTCTTGGCAATCTTCGGCATTCCTTGGCTTGTAGCTACATCACTCTGATCACTACCTGTCTTCACTTGGCCATCTGCCCTGAGCATGTCTCTCTGAGTCTGTGCATGGCTTTCTTTGAGGGACACCAGCATTGGATTTAGGGCTCAGCCTAACCAGGTATGACTTCATCGTAACCAATTTTATCTGCAAAGTCTGATTTCTGAGTAGACATGAATTTTGGGGGGACATTGTTCTACCCCGTTTTTATCATCATGTCAAGTATGTCCAGTTTCTTCAATCATGACTTTGTGTAATTTTTTCTGTGTTGGAGCATGTAGCTTATTCATTTTCATAATATCACCTTTTGTGAATCATCAGAATATATCCATTTTTCTATTAATTCATAGGATAGTTCTAGTTTTCTGCTATTAAAAATAATCCTTTAATCTCCCTGTAAGCCAACCCTCTCCTTAGTTGTTATATTTGAGTATGGAATGGTTTGTAAACACCCTTAAATAGGGCTCCTAGAAGTAAATGCATTTATGGGCCACACAGCACTGTGCTAATAATATGCATTTTTTGTTAATTTTCTCTCTATTTAATCTTCACAACCACACTCTGAGGAAGGGGGACTGTCTTACTCATTTTTCAGAAATGGAAACCAAGGCTTAGTAAGGCTTTTTTCAATTCTAATGATTTGACTTGATCTTTTGTATTCCCTGAAAAGCCATCTTTTGTTATTGAGCTTACTACTTTATGAGGTTTTGGTAGGCTGGAGAGACTGGAAGGCATTAGTTCTTTCTGGCTTAAATATTTCTGATACCATCTTTTATTAAGTTTGTCTTTCTGGCTTTTATATTTAACTTTTTAAAAATATACGAATTGTATTTTTTATTGTTAAAATTTCCCTGACATTTTAATAAAAATTTCAAAACAAAGTCAAAAGAATTTTATACTGAACATTCATATACCCATTATCTAGATTCTGCCATTGACATTTTACTTACACTTGTTTTATCACATATCCGTCCATCAATCCATTTATTTTTCAGGTGCATTTCAAAGTAAACTGCATACATCAGTGTATGTCTCCCTGAATTTTTCAGCAAGTATATAAGAAAGTTCAGTATTCTAGTTTTGATGTAAAATTTTACAATGAAATACTCAAGTCGGTATTGTTTTGACAAGTGAATAACCTCAATCAAACCTAATTTGTTGACTTTTAAAATTGTTATTGCTTCCTGGTCCTGTCTAAAAACCTTTGGCCCCAAGTCATGGAGACATTCTCATCTATTATTCTCTATTAAAATTTGATGGTTTAGGGCGCCTGGGTGGCTCAGTTGGTTAAGTGACTGCCTTCGGCTCAGGTCATGATCCTGGAGTCCCGGGATCGAGTCCCGCATTGGGCTCCCTGCTCAGTGGGGAGTCTGCTTCTCCCTCTGACCCTCTTCCCTCTCGTGCTCTCTCTCTCTCATTCTCTCTCTCTCAAATAAATAAATAAAATCTTAAAAAAAAAAAATTTGATGGTTTGGGGCACCTGGGTGGCTCTGTTGGTTAAGCGTCTGCCTTTGGCTCAGGTCGTGATCTCAGGGTCCTAGGATCAAGCCCTGAATCAGGCTCCCTGCTCAGCAGGGCATCTGCTTCTCCCTCTCACTGTGCTCCCCCACTCTGTCCCCCCCTTCCGCTTGTGCTCTCTGCTCTCTCTCGTGCTCTAATAAATAAAATCTTTAAAAAAAATTTGATGGTTTTAGCATTTATGTTTAGGCCTGTGATCATCTGGAATTAGTTTTGAGTTTGGTGTGAGACAGGAATTGAGGGTTTTTGGTTTATTTTTTTTTTAAGATTTTATTTATTGGGATGCCTGGGTGGCTCAGTTGGTTGGGTGTCTCCCTTCAGCTCAGGTCATGATCCCAGGGTCCTGGGATCGAGTCCCGCATTGGGCTCCTTGCTCAGCAGGGAGCCTGCTTCTCCCTCTGCCTCTGTCCCTCCCCCATTCATGTGTGCTGTCAAGTAAATGGATAAAATCTTAAAAAAAAAGACTTTATTTATTTGAGAGAGCGAGCAAGAGCATGTACAAGGTGGGGAGGGCTGAGCAGGGAGCCTGATCTTTTTCTTTTAATGTTAGATACATAGTTATTCCCATACCATGTGTTGAAAAGACTTTTTTCTCCATTGGCTGGCTTTATTTACTGCCTTTCTTGATAATCAAATAACCATAAAAGTATGTCTTGGCTCTTTGCTGTGTTCCATTGTTCTGTTTGTTGAGCCCTATCGAGAACCACATTGTCTTGGTTGCTGTGAAAGAAAAACAACCCCACTTTCTACTCTACACTCACTTAGAACACTTCTGACAACAGTTCTGGTCATCAAATGTTGTTTGTTTTTCCCACACTAATTCTCTCTGGATACCCACTGGGTTTCCTACAGTTCAACTCAGTTCTGACACTATCCACCTGGGCTTAGCACAGACCCCATAGGTTAAGGACTTAGTCCCGCAAGATTCCCTCTTGCCCCCATCACTTCAGATACCAATTGCAAGTCCAGGTTGTCTCCTGTTCTTCTGACCAGTGGGCTGTAAATCAGAGGTTTTCTTGATCCCCTCCTTGGGGTTCCACAGTTTCTTAAAATGGCTCACAGAACTCAGAAAGCAGTTTATTTACTGGATTAACAGTTTATTACAAAGGTGGGGGATACAACTCAGGAACAGCTGATTGAAGAGATGCATAGGGCAAGGTATAAGGGCAAGGGCACAGAGCTCCCATGCCTTCTGGGTATGCCACACTTCCACCATCTCCATACGTTCACCAACCTGGGAAGCTCTCTGAATACAACCTCTCAGTCCTCCATACTAGAGGGACTTTTGTGAAGACTTCATTATATAGGCATGGTTGATTAAGTCATTGGTGAGTAATTCAACCTCCAGCCCCTTCTCCCATCTGGAGGTCAGGGGTTAGGGCTGTAAGTTCTAACCCTTTAAGCACATGGTTGGTTCCCTTGGCAGCCAGGCCCTACTCTGAGGGGATTTCCAAAAGTCCCCTCATTAACAAACTCAAGTGTGGGTGAAAGGGGCTTGTTACGAATAACGAAAGTCTTCTGACTTCTTTTATTGCTCTTTGCTCTTAAGAAATTCCAAGGTGTTTGAGGAGCTCTGTGCCAAGGATGGGAGAAAGAGCAAATATATATTTATTACAAACCACAGTATCATAGTTGCTATACCTTTAGTATTGAAGTCAAATTTGAAGTCAGTTTAAATCTTACAACTTTTTTTTTCCCCCAAGACTGCTCCGTATATCCTAGGTTCTCCTTTGCATTTCCATATGCATTTTTTAAAAAGTTCTTATTTGAATTCCAATTAGTTAACATACAGTGTAATATTTAAGTGTACAATATAGTGATTAAACACTTCCATTCAACACCCAGTGCTCATTACAAGTACATGCCTTGGTCCCTATCAACTATTTCTCCCTTTCCCCCACCCACCTCCATACTGATAACCAGTAGTTTGTTCTCCATAGTTAAGAGTCTGTTTCTTGGTTTCCTTTACTCATTTGTTTGTTTCTTAAAATTCCACAAGTGAAATCAGATGGCATTTGTCATTCTCTGACTTATTTTGCTTAGCATAATAGTCTCTAGCTTCATCCATATCGTTGCAAATGGCAGGATTTCATTCTTTTTTATGGCTGAGTAATATTCCATTGTATATATGTACCACATCTTTTTTATCCATTCATCAGTTGATGGATACTTGGGCTGTTTCCATAATTTGGCTATTGTAAATAATGCTGCTATAAACATTGGGGTGCATGTATCCTTTTGAATTAGTGTTTTTTATCCATATGTATTTTAGAATCAACTTGTCAGTTTTTACATGTATATAACCTTTTAAATTTTGATCTTGTGTTGCTATTTTATTAAATTTTCTTCCATTATTATTTTGAAATGGCATTTAAAGTTTTATTTTTAAAGACTGTATTTTTAAGTAATCTCTACACCCAGCATGGGGCTCGAACTCACAACCCTGAGATCAAGAGTTGCACACACTCCACTGACTGAGACAGCCAGGTGCCCCTGGCATTTAAAGTTTTGATTGGCGGGCTCATACTGACTTTTGACTAGGGCTCTCTTGGGACAGAAGCTGAGAATATTCTAGTATATTCCCAAAGTAGATTGTCATCATAAATTTCAAATCTTACATATATTTAAACTTAGATAGATGTGACATTTCAAAAAAAGTAATTAGAAAAGTCATTTATATAATTATCCAAGTGCTGTTTCCCTTAAAAAGAAACCTTGAAAATCTCCTGAGATTTTTATTTTTTTAAGATTTTTATTTATTTGGCCGGGGCGGGGGAGTGGGAGAGGGAGAAGCAGGCTTCCTACTGAACAGGGAGCCCAATATGGGGCTCGATCCCAGGACCCTGGGATCATGACCCGAGCCAAAGGCAGACGCTTAACGACTGAGCCACCCAGGCGCCCCTTTTCTTTTTCTTTTTTTTCCTGAGATTTTATTTTACATTCTTCTTTTATGTGAAAAGGATGTCATCTTTTTCCTATATTATCTCTATATCTGCTGTCCCTCCAAACTGTAAACAAATTTATCATTCCTGGAGAAAAGACGGGAAAAAGAGTTTCAATTGATTCTTAGAAAACTTTCTTTTTTCAACAGGGCGTCATCGTTGTATTGGGGAGAATTTTGCCTATGTTCAAATCAAGACAATTTGGTCCACTATGCTTCGTTTATATGAATTTGATCTCATTGATGGATATTTTCCCACTGTGAATTATACAACCATGATTCACACCCCTGAAAATCCAGTTATCCGATACGAACGAAGATCAAAATGAAAAAGGCTGCAGGGAACTAACATGTGAAACATCACTGTAAACCGCAAAAGCATTTGAAGAGAATGAAGTTTATGAAACAACTCCTGGTGTATTCTTTTTTTGAGTATAATTTTAAAAGACAGCTAGCTTAACTTACGGTTTTTATATTTTCTTAACTGAATGGTTCCATCAAATCTAATCGCATTTTAGATATTTCTTAATAGTTTTATGATGGCTATTAAGGAAACCAAACTCATTAGTATGAAATTCTTTAGGGGGATCTTGGTAATTGACAGATTCTAAACAGTTTCCAGGTATTAATCTTAACAAACGTAGCTCTTGGAAAATAAGTTCGGGTATTTACATCTTGGACTAGAGCTGCAAGTATAAAAAGGCCTAAAGGCCCAGGGAGATACTTGGAAAGCTCAGATTATTTATTTACTGGGTAATGTTTGTGTGTGTGAGGATGGGTGGGTAGGGAATAAACTAATTTAAAGCCTTGGATAAAAAAGAATCCCATCAATTGTTTTGGTATGATGATACCTAGCAATGATGGAGCTATGCTGTAGAAAAAAAAAATGTCCTTTGAAATTTTATCTGGAAGATTTGTCTCCAGGAAACAGATTTGACAATGACTAATTACATTTCCTAAAAAATAATAAGAATGCACATGTATCTTAATCTAATTACTAAGTATTACATATTTATCTACCTGATAAATTTCTGTCTGGTTCCACATGGTGACCTAATGTGAAAGCCCAAAATAAAGTTCTTAAGGAATAGTTTTGTTCTCTTTGGCTCTAGGTGGTTTCCTGCTTCCTCTCTAGAATCTAATCAGGGATGTTTCTGTTACTAGTTCTGTTTATGAAAACTTAATTTAGGTTAACAAACTTTTTTTTTTTTTTTTAAAATACAAAATCAGAGATCAGGAACTCTGGCTTTAAGATAATGTGAAGTGTAGGGTCTTTGGGAGTAGCATCATTGGTTGCATTGTTGCAGCCTGTGTTCAAGAATCAAAGTACAACTGGGGACCTGACTATATATACCTGTTGTAATTTGACCACATAATCTGTTTTTACTGGATGAGGCCAAAATATTTTCCCTTATGTATATGGGAAAGCTGCTAGAGGACTCATGTTAAACTCTTTGTGAAGGCGAAATCTCTGCTGTAAGAGTTTTTCACATTAAAATGATCTCTGAGAAAAAAATATAGTCTAATTCACTAGTTGTAAAGTGGTGTGCTTCATTGAGTAGAATTCAAGAATCTAGGAACTTGGATGGGGAAAAAAAATTCCATCTTTGTACTAATTTCAAACTGTAATTTAGTATTTCCTTTATTTATGAAGCAACAAACTATACTAGTATTAGCAGTACCCATGATTTTGAGAACAAAAATCACAGATTTTCTGTATCACATTAAGATGTTTCAGATCTCCTGAAATGTCTTTTACTTCCATCATTACTTTAAAATTATGGGACTTATTAGATCAACTGCTAGATTTTATTTCTAAAAATGTACTTTTTTTTTTTTAAGATTTTATTTATTTTGACAGCGAGAGAGGGAACACAAGCAGGGGGAGTGGGAGAGGGAGAGGCAGGCTTCCCACTGAGCAGAGAGCCTGATGTGGGGCTCGATCCCAGGACCCTGGGATCATGACCTGAGCTGAAGGCAGATGCTTAACGACTAAGCCATCCAGGCACCCCTAAAAATGTACTATTTCTATGTAATTGGTTTCTTTTGCAACCCCATACATGTTACGTGTTCAAAAGCACTATTCTGAGAAGGGTCCCATAGTTTTCATCAAGACTTCTAGAGAGGTTCATGGCACAAAAAAAGCTCAAACCCTAAGACTAGTCTGTGTTTAGTGAGTAGTTTGTTTTTGAGTAGACAATTTTTTTTTATTATTAACATATAATGTATTATTTGTTTCAGGCGTACAGGTCTGGGATTCATCAGTCTTACACAATTCACAGCACTCACCATAGCACATACCCTCCCCAGTGTCCATCACCCAGCCACCCCATCCCTCCCAACCCCCTCCAGCAACCCTCAGTTTGTTTCCTGAGATTAAGAGTTTCTTATGGTTTGTCTCCCTCTCTGGTTTCGTCATTTCATTTTTTCCTCTCTTCCCCTATGATCCTCTGCCTTGTTTCTCAAATTCCACATATCAGTGAGGTATGATAATTGTCTCTCTGATTTACTTACTTCGCTTAGCATAACACCCTCTAGTTCCATCCACATCATTGCAAATGGCAAGATTTCGTTTTTTTGATGGCTGCATAATATCCCATAACCACATCTTCTTTATCCATTCATCCATCGATGACATCTGGGCTCTTTCCATAGTTTGGCTTTGAATAGACTTAATTTTTAACCACTGATTCATGACTGAGAAGCATCGACAAGTTGGACTGGAGAGGCCTGATGTCATAAGGAGGGCTGATGGTCAGATGATGGGACACCTGTCCATCTGCTACCTTCTCCATTCTCTCTCACAGCAGAAGGGCCTTGAATGGCAAGCTATACTAACTAAAAAAGTTTTTACTCAATTAAATGCTTTGGGATACATTTTTTATTTCTGGAACTCCTCTTAATTGGAACCCAGCTGCTAATATGGAAAAATTAAGTAATTTGAAATCTCCCAGAATGTAGAACTTGTTACCATAGCCTGTTTGTCGGTATAAAATCATAGAATGTCTAGGGGTAAGACAAAATCTTCAGGATGTAAGCATTAAATACTATTCCTCTTGCTGTTTCAGTAAGATGCCGTATTTCAGGGAGGATTCTGGTTCAGAAATGCTGAGATTTACATTATCTCTATGAGAGCTTCCCAATCTGGAATTTGGCTTGGACAGCAAGAATACTGCTTAATTCTGCTGCATTTAGTATTATGGTTAATAAAATTTAAGATTCTTTCAGTTAAATGATTTGTGCATCATTCTAGTAGGCATGGCTTTGTGAAGACACACATTTGGACACAAGTAACACTAAACATAATAGGGCAATTATAGACTAATGAAAATATTAACATAGCTTTTAAAAAATACTATATGTAAAGTTGATAGAAAGTTACATAGAAAACTTCAAGGGAGGGAGAGAAAAATCCCAATAGTATCTAAGATTAGGACAACTTTCTAAATCTCAAAATATGTATATTTGAGATAATGAGATAATCTGCACTGCCACTGACTGAATGTTTGTGTCCGTCTCCCCCCACCAAATTCTTATATTGAAATCCAATCCTCAGTCTGTTGGTATCTGGAAGTGGGGCCTTTGGGAGGTGATAAGGTCATGGGGCTGATGTCTCATAAATGGGATGAATGTCCTTATAAAAGAGACCTCAGAGAGCTCCCTTGTCCCTTCTGCCATGTGAAGACAGAGCAAGAAGATGGTAGTCCTTGAACCAGGAAGCAGGCCCTTACCAGATACCAAATCTATTGGCACCTTGATTTTTGACTTCCCAGCCTCCAGAACTGTGAGAAGTAAATTTCTACTGTTTATAAGCCATCTAGTCTATGGTATTTGGTTTATAGCAGCCTGAATGGACTAAGACATACACCAAGCACTGTCTCAGTTAAAAATGAAGGTTCCAAAAAAAAAAGGTTCAAATACAGTGTGGTTAAAATGGTGAAGTCATTTTTATTTCAGTACTTGACAAAATACCCCATAAAATTCAAAACTTCTACCATTATACAAAAATAGGTCTCTACAAGTGATAGTATCTGTCTTCATCACCAGTAGCAAATATATTAGGGCAGAAACATGTAATTCAGTAGCCTTATAAGAAAAGTGCAGGACACCTCAAGCTACACATTCAGCAGTATCATAATGCGCAAAAGTTTAATCTTTTCACCCATCCGATAAATACACAAGGTTTATAATTTAATCATTTAAATTAGCATTCCACAAATATACATGTAATTAAATGATTTGTGCATGAATACATACACAATGCTATTATGTACAAATTCCAGTTTGTTTTCATGTGCTGGCAAAGGGATTTGTATACAATCATAAGCTGTGTTCATATTGGTCCCGCTGAATATCCACAATACAAAAGCACAAAAGAACTGATTTACAAAAGGGAATCTGTTTAAAATCACTTTGATTCATTAATGTTCCAAAAGATTATCTTCTCATGCCAGCATGAAACTGGGTTGAACCTAAGAGAGAAAGAAGACACGTAAATGATTTTAAATTAAATTGCTACCTATGCCAGACCAATCAGTACAGGCGCACCTTGGAGATACTGCAGCTTGGGTTCTAGACTACTGCAATCAAGTGAATATTGCAATACAGAGTTAAATAAATTTTTGTTTTCCCAGGCAAATAAAAATTATGTTTACACTATAGTCTATTAAGTGTGCAATAGCATTATGTCTAAAAATACAATGTACATACCTTTAACACTTTATTATTGAAAAGTGCTAATCATCATCTGAGCTTATCTTTATGCTGTTGGAGGGTCTCGTCTCCATGTTGAAGGCTGCTGACCATGGTGGTGGTGGTGGTTGCTGAACGTTGGGGTGGTTGTGGCAATTACTTCAAATAAAACAAAAATGAAATTTGCTGCATCGATTGGCTCTTCTTTTCATGAACAATTTCTCTGTAGTATGTGATGCTGTTGGACAGCATTTTACTTAGTGTAGAACTTTTTTTTTTTTAGTGTAGAACTTTCAAAACTGGAATCAATCCTCTGAAACTGCTGCTTTATCAACTAAGTTTATGTAATATAAATCCTTTGTTATCAACAATCTTCACAGTATCTTCACTAGGAACAGATTCCATCTCAAGAGACCACTTGTTTTGCTCATCCATAAGGAACCCTTCAACCATTAAAAAGTTTCCTCATAAGATTGCAGCAATTCAGTTACATCCTCAGGCTCCACTTCTAGTTCTCCTGCTACTTCCACTGTATCTGCAGTTACTTCCTCCACTAAGTCTTCAACACCTCAAAGTCATGCATGAGGGTTGAGATCAATGTCTTCTAAACTCCTGTTCATGTTGATATTTTGACCTCTTCCCATGAATCGTAAATGTTCTCACTGGCATCTAGAATGGTGAATCCTTTCCACAAGGTTTTTGGGTTACTTTGCCCAGATCTGTCAGGAGAATCACTATCTATGATAGCTACAAACTTACAAAATATATTTCATAAGTACTAAGACTTGAAAATCAAAATTACTCCTTGATCCATGGGGTTGCAGAATGGATGTTGTATTAGCAGGCATGTAAACATGAATCCCGTTGTACATCAGAGCTCTTGGTAAGCAGGTGTATTGTCAATGAGCAGTAATATTTTGAAAGGAATCTTTTTTTCCTGAACAGTGGATCTCAACAATGGGTTTAAAATATTCAGTACACCATGTTATAAACAGATGTGGTGTTTTATCTTGATGTAACACAGGCAGAACAGATTTAGCATAATTCCTAAAGGCCCCAGGATTTTTGAAATGGTAAATGAGCACTGACTTCAACCTAGTCACCCACTGCATCAGCCCCTAACAGGAGAGTCAGCCTGTCCTTTGAAGCTAGACACTGACTCTTTGTCTCCAGCTATGAAAGCCCTAGATGGCATCTTCTTCCAAAAGAAGGCTGTTCTGTCCACATTAAACATCTGTTATTCAGTGTAGCCACCTTCAGGAATGATCTTAGCCAGATCTTCTGGGTAACTTGGAGCTTCTACATTAGCACTTGTTGCTTCACCTCATACTTTTATGCTATGGAGACTTCTTTCCTTAAAACGCATCAACCAACCTCTGCTAGCTTCAAACTTTCTTC